AAGAAGAAGAAGAAAGGGGAGGAGGAGGAGGAAGAAGAGTAGTGGAGAAGGAGAAAAAGGGGAAGAAAAAGGAGAAGGAGGAAGGGGATAGGGCGAAGGAGAAGAAGGGGAGAAGAAAAAAGGAGAAAAAAAAAGGAGGAGGAGGATATAAATAGATTATTAGACATGAATGGCTCAAAGTTAAAAGGGAGAGTTACCAAAGCAGAAGAGAGGTCCAGGAAAAACAAACAAAAACAAAACCTTCATAGTTTAGAACATTGTGAAGAATCTAATAAGATGAAATTTAAAATAATAAATGTAAAATTTTACACTGGGTTCCAAAATAAATTTCAAATATATTGAATGGAGGAGATATTTTAAGTAGATATTGAATATTTTAGAGAACCAGAGCCCAAAGCTAATACAAGTTCTTTGTTATATTGTAGCCAAAAAAGCAAATACGATTTTAATCTGCTTTTAAAGGAAGGCCAGCATCCAGAATGTGGCAGCCCTACTCTACTGGTAAGAACCACATATGGAATATTTTGTTTCATTTGGGGCATCACAATTTAGGAAACACATGGATAATGTGGAGAAGATCCAGATTCAAGTAACCAGAATGATGAAGGATCTTGAGTCCAGTGTGTGTGAGAACTTGGAATGCTTGGCCTAAAGAAGAGAAAGTGTACAGCTGATGTGACATGCCAGCCATCTTCAATTATTTGGAAGGCTGTCACCTAAAAGATGGATTGGATTTGTTCTTCTTGGTCATAGAGGGAAGAACTAGGAGCAATGGATAGGAATTTAGGAAGTCAAAATTCAGCTTAATGTAAGGAAAAGCATCCTAGTCATTAGAGGAATCCTAAAATAGAATGGGCTACAGTTGTAGGTAATCATTAGAGGCCATTAAACAAAAGCAGGCTGACGACTTGTTGAATATGTTTTAAAGGAGATTTCTTGTTTAATTATGGTTAGACTAAATGACCTTGAGGATCCTTACAACTTTGAGAGTTTAGATTCTGGAAATAGTTTTGCATGTAGTTGTTGTTAGGTTTTTTTTTTTAAGATGTCAATGTACATTTTTTTAATTGAACAAGGCTATAAAGTTCTCAGAACTGTAAGCTAGTCAAATGATGGTGACTGGTGTTGTAAATGGTAAAGAGATGATTTATACTCAGATACTGAGTGGAAGAACTGACCTCTGAGGTCTTCCCCAACTCAATATTCCATTTCTTATAAAATTTATCAAGGAACTTTGTGAGAGAAAGGAAAGGTAAGAAGAATCAGAAATAATGTTATAAGAAGGAGATAAATAAGGATGGGGTAGGAGGATGGGGTGAGTTAAAAGCAATTTCTCAGAATTACTGAGAAATATTTCCTAACAAAGGAATTACAATTTGGAAAAGGGATTAGAATTTATTTTCCCCCATCGGCTAAGAGAGCACAACTGTAAGCAATATGTAGAACTTACAGGTAACAGAATTCAGCCTGACATAAAAGAAAATGAAATTGGAGGTGTCCCAAACAGAATATGCTACCTTAGAAGGTAGAGGTATCCAAGTAGGACCTGAATGACCACTTATCAAGGATGAGAAAAGGGCTGTCGTGCATGCTTCAGGTTAGAGATAGGTCTCTGAGATTGCTTCTTGCTGCAAGATTCTATAATACTGTAATAGGTTTGAGAACTCAAATGAATGATCCAAGACCATCAGAAAATGATTGTTTACTATGCTCAGAAGGTACATAAACACAGTATCCTTCAAAAATTGGGCCAATTAATATTGTCTTCCACCCCTAAAGGAGCAGGTCCACCTGAAGCCAGGATTTGGAGCTTATATATTATTCAATTCAATTTTCCCTTCTTCCCTTACACTATTTTATAGATGATGAACCTAAGGCCCCAACCCTTAAATTACTTGTCCCAACCCTCACAAGTAAGTTTGTGTCAGAGTTGAAATCAGAACCTACTACATCACACAATCTCCTCATGTAAACATATGAACAATGCTTCAGATGCCTTCCCATATTTTAACGATTAGAAATTGAAATTTTCTGTTCTTGAGCATATGACCAAAGTAATATTGGTAGGTCTTTTTAGAATGCTATTAACCCAGAAAGCCATATCAACCAGCAAGATCCTGATCCTCTGCCTTTATGGCAATTCCAGATTTAGGACAATGCATAGCAATGAGTTTCTTAGAATTATGATCTCCCTTCTAGTAAAGACTGTGCTGAAAACATCAAAGGTTTAGATTAGCCCTTCTCTGTTCAATGTACTTGAGGACAAGCATATTCTCTTTCCACAACCTCTTTAAAAAGGGAGATTAAAAAGTGGTGTCACTAGCTACAGATTTAAAATCCTGCCAAAGGTAAAAGCTGTCACAATCAGAAGTAGTTATACTATGAAGGAGCAAAACCAAGCCTAGATTCTTTCCTGCCTGCCCTATTTTGCATGACTTCTCAAGGATTCTGAATAGAAGCCATTACTGCATGAGCCATGGGGAATATTCTCTCAGCTCCAGGAAGCAGTCTTCCCATGAGTAGTCAAACTTATCAGTTCAGAATTGCAACCCAACCCCCTCTAGTCGCCCTCTTATATTTCTGGGGTCTGGGGCAGAGAGAACGATGGGGATCAGTCTGAGACCTGAAGATGAACAGGCTTCAGACCTCCACCAAATGGGTTTAAATGTGTGGTTCCCAGGCAGGAGCTGGCACTCCGTCAAGAGGGCAGAAGAGTACAGGGACGGCTGCTGAGTGGCGAGCAGCTTTTCCCCAGGCACAAAGCAAGGATGTACAGGATGATTGGCAGATTGCGTGGCTCTGAGTAAATGAGCAGCACACATATGTTCTCCAACTTCGGGCTGGGGAGTGGTGGGGAGGGGAAAGATTCGAGTGCCAGGGGGATGGGAGCAACCCGACTTCAGACAAAGCACTTGCAAAGCAGCACCTGTGGTTTGCGGAGGCTTTCAAGAACAGGAACCTGGCTGCAAGACAAAGGTCTGGCTGAAGGTTCTTTTCATTAATGCTTCCAAGTCAAAAAGCCATTTTTATTGGGCTAGTTTCATGCAAAGTGGGGCCGGATCTGAATTCTCCACTCTCACACTGCCATCTACTGGACAATGGGCCTTTTCCCTGTCCAGGGCTCTCCAATCGGGAAAAACGCAAGAGGCAGATTGCTTTAACAGACAGGATAGGACAGGACATTCAGAATGTCTCACAGGATTCAGACATGGAGTGCTGGGCTCATCCAGCCTTGTATTTGGCAGTGATGGAGACGGGCAGCTTTTAAGTTAGCTAGGGACATTTCTAAATAAGCTTCATGCAAAGTCATATGAAATTCATGAGGACCAGATCACAACATTTAAGTGGTAAAATAAAAATAAGTAAATGAACAATTTTATGGCTGTTGCTTTAAAAACAATAATAAAGAGTCAACAATGTGTCTGGGACACATAAAAAAGTTAACTATTAAAAGAGTTCGATAACAACCTAAGCTAGCATGCAAAAGAGGCCTCAAAGGCTAGCCATAGTTAGACCTTAGGTTAAGTGTTAGACTCCCTGGGAACCAGTGAACTCATTTTGGGCCATAGCATTGTTCCTCCACCATAACCATAACCAGGCCTGGCAGGAAGCAGTGGTCTCAGCAAATAAATGGTGCTGAATAGAACGTGTCCAAATCTCTGTCAAACAAAGGCTCAGGGTGTATTTATACTCAGGCCACAGCTGATGCATTGTTGGAACTCCTCATCCATTTTCTTTTATTCTTTACAACTAAGTCTTGGTTAGATCATTTACACATGGGTGCACTCTTTCACATTTTGACATTGTGGTTTTTGACCATGAACCAGCTTCATGGTTCCCTCCTTTACATGGAAAATGCCCAGGCCACACTACTGCTACCACCCACAAAAACCTCTTTGTTTACTGAAGCCCATGCCACTCATTTGGCAATTAACCATGGCCTGCTTTGGAGGTCTCTCTTGCATTGCTATCTTAGGTTATTATTGAAATCTTCTAATAGTTAACTTTTTATATGTCCCAGACACATTGTTGGCTCCTTGAGGACAGGGTCTCTGCCATTTATATTCCTTTGTCTCCACCACAATATCTGGCACAGTAGGATATTCTATTTTGTAGATTCCACAAGGAAGTCCAGATCTTCAGATAGAAACAGATGTATATTTGGATCTCCCTCTTCTCTGAAGCTACTTTTTTTTTCAGATGGTCAGGAATGAGGCCAGGGTCTGAACTTAGGATTTCACTTGTATAGGGAACTGTTAGGTACTTGCTTAGAAATTCAGAGTCTGACTGAGTATACCTGAAGTATTGAGAGGTTAAGTGGCTTATTCAGAGTCACACATCCAGTATGTGTAAAAGGCAGATCTTGGACCCAGGTCTTATTGATTCTGAGGCCTGTTGCCAGTCTATTGCACAATGCTGCCTCTATGGAGCACTGCCAGCATTAATTCATAATTTGAAAATTTTTATGTATTGTTTCCCATTTGAATGTAAGTTGCCTGAGGTCAGGGAATGTGTTTTGCCTTTCTTTGTATTCCTAGTACATAGCATATTTGTTGTCAGTCATTTCAGTCATGTTAACTCTTCATGATCCCATTTTGGGGGTTTTCTTGGCAGATACTGAAGTGGTTTGCCATTTCCTTTTCCAGCTCATTTTACACATGAGAAAACTCAGGCAAACAGGTTAAGTGACTTGCCCAGATTCACACAGCTATTAAGTGCCTTGGGCCATATTTGAACTGAAGTCTTCCTGACTGCAGCCCAGTACTCTATCTACTTCACCACCCAACTTCAATACATTCTCAGTGAAATAGTTAACTAGTATAACCTTTCTGGAAAGCAATCTGGACTTGTACAAATGAAGTAGCTGAAATATCCTTATCCTCTGAGATTCTAATAGTGGTCATTGACAAAACAATGTCTCCATATATATCAAAATATTTATAGCAGCATTTTTTGTAGTAGCCAAGAACTGGAAATAAAGTAGACACCACTGATTGGGGAAAGGCTAACAATATATGAATATGAAAGAATATTTTTATACTGAAGAAGGAACATGAGGAATACAGAGAAGCCATCCTCTTGCCTTTGACATGTCTGGGACATGTGATACCTCTTAACCCATCCGTACAGTAGACAAGTCTCTAAGTTTAAAAAAGTTGTCAATCTTCATTGGAAGGAATTTCCATGATTAAAGTTGCTGAAACTGATGAAATCTGGACCCAAAATAATAATGATTTACATTGCATTCTATCCCACTTTCCCTAGTAAAATGTAAATTACTTGAGACCAAAGATTGCTTTTTTTCCCCCTCCATATCCTCAGTGCCTAGTTCAGTGCATCTCAGAAAAATCAATGAATGTTTAAGGATTTAAAATAAATAATAACATGTTAAAGTCCATAGTGACACAAAAATACACATTGTTGCAAACAATCACATAAGAATAAATTCCTTTCATGAATTGTTTTCCCCATTAAACCACTGAGTGATATGTTCATTCATTCCACTAGTACAAAGAGTATTTGACTCATGGTTTCATGTTACACAGTGTTAAAGGGATCATTCTTCTAAACACTTGGGTTATAACCATGTCTTCTTCTAAACATCATTCTTCTAAATATGTGGGTTATAACCATGTCTTCAGGAAGGGGTCTTTGCTCATGTTATTCATAACTCTTCAGTTCCAACAAGCCAAGCAGGGCCATGTCACACCTCTGCTGACAGTTCTTTTCACAGCTCTGAAGGTTTTTTGTTTTGTTTGTTTGTTTTCCAAATGAATTCAGCAGGTCTGTTTGACCTATTCAAGCTTGACACATCTATGGCAGAAGTCACTGAAGAAGTCAAACCCTGGAACAGACCTAAATGTGACCAATGAATCAGATGAACTCAAGGGTGATCAAAATTTAGACAGAGATCACACAATTCAATTACAGTTAGCCCTTCCATATCCCAGCTTTCCCCATTATGGTTTGGATATATCACGGGTCAGCATAAAAAATTAAATGGCAATCTTTAGGGAGTTTTGTGGAAGCTGCAGATGTCATGCAAAGCCCAGCAGATGACAGAAAAAGTTTAGAAACTGAGAAATGCATAAAATATATGTATAGCATTATATAATATCAACATATTTTATTTTTAATACCATAATAATTCAGACTTCTTCTCTGGTATGAACACAGGGATGGAAAATTTTGTGGATTTTCTAAATTGTGGGGGTGCTGCACTCCTAAACCCAATGTAGAAGGGATAACTGTAAGTCCAACAATACCCAATGCATGCTAAGCCCTGTGATAGTGAAATGCAAGATGCAAAATTTAGAGAACAGGCCCAACCTTATTGAAATTACAGTCTAACAGGGGGACACTTACCTAGACAACTGTAAGATGAGAGGCAATGTGGGATGTAGTGGATCCTTGAAGTCAAGAAGAGACGGATTCAAGTCCTACACAAATGCATTAACTTTTTAGTGTGCTAGATAGTTCTCTAAGACTATAAATTTGAAAAGAACCTGCCTACCTGCATTGGTCAATGGAGGTTCCACTCTATACCCATGAAATCACAGATCAGACCAAACAACACCAAATACTACAATACATTATTAATTATTAAGTGTATTAGGGAGGTGAAAAATTGTAGTATGTGAAACCCAAGCCAAAAAGTAGAAGGAAGGGGAAGGGAGTAGTTAGGGAAGGCTTCAAGTGATATTAACTTTTTACATTTAAACATTTTTACATTTAAAACATGTAAGAAACTTACCTATTGTAGAAACATCTGATCTTATGGTACAAGCTGCGTCAGTCTCACCTCATGTGACTAGCCTAGGATGAGTAGAACCTTTCCTTACCAAGAGCCTCCAGCCCAAATAGTTTAGTCTAATAAAAAAGAAAGAAGTTGAACCAGAAGGATGGGATCAAAGTCTTTCCTCCCAGTACCCATTATCCAAACACTCTTCTTTCCCAAGGTCACTCTCCTATCCATTAATTTTCCAGGTGCTGAAAGCAATTCATTGGAAGGAAATCTTTTTTTTTTATTTCTCCCATTATATCCTATATCTGGTTGTTTACCTTCTGTAGGGGAGAGAGGGAGGAAGTGAGGGAGGGAAGGATAAGATTTGGAACTCAAAATGTTAAAAAAAAATGATAAAAAAGTTTTAGCATATAATTTTGTTAGAGTGTGTGTGGAAATAACTATATTAAAAATAAATAAACTACATTTCCCCTTTTACTTAATAAAACAACAAATAAAAACTAGACTAAAATTAAATATTGAAGAAAAGAGATAGCCTGTCAAAAATGATTAGGCATAAGAAAAATGGTGACCATACAATGCGTTATAATCTGATTTGATAAAGTAACATTTATCTTCTTAAGATCCACCGTACTGTGAATTCCTTCAAAAGCACTATTTGTATTTGTAGCAATATATAACTCCTGGTGAAAGTATTATCTAGAAATAATGTTGTGAACATTCTAATTCTATTTTTTAACTATGAGCTTAATGGTATGACTAATAAGATCATATAAAACATATTAAACCCCATTGCTTTCAAGAAACATCAGTTGAAAAAGACAAATTCTAAGGTAATAATATGATAATTCATCATACATTGCACTTTACTTAAAAATTTGCTGAACTAATACTGAGAGACAGTGTAATTTAGTGGGTAGGGAGGCGGTTAAGGAGTAATAAAGCCCCATTTCTGACACATACTAGCTATGTGTCCCTAGGAAGTCATTTGACCTCTCAGTTCCTGGTGTTGCTTTAAGAATATAACTCAGAGAGAAGATGCTCATCTGCTTTATATATTAAAAAAAAAAATTCCTCTCCAGGAAGAGGAACACTGATAAAATCGCAGAATTGGTCCAAAAAAGCTAGTATTACAACCAAAGACCTGTGATTCTGTCCATAAAGAAAAAAGAGTACTATCTACAAATTATTTAATAAATCTTAGGGAGTTGCCTGGGGACTAGAGAGCAGAAGTGATTTGTCCTTTCCTTCTCCCAGCCACCTCACCTGTGATCAAACTGCTGTTAAGTGTCAGAGGCAGGCTGTAAACCCAGGAATCCCTGGCACCAAGTCCAGTATTCCATCTCATATACCATGCTTCCCAAATTGAGAGTGACATTAAAATACTTCAAATGATTTGTGATTCCCTAGGCAACTCAATGTCCTATTGCCCTTTGACCAAAAATGATGAATAATCTAATCTTGATTAATTCAAAGTCAGTTTTTATAAACCTTGGTGCTTATAATTAACAAAGATAATTTCTCAGGCTAAATCCAAGCAATAGAATTTTGGATGATGTGCATGAAAGTCCTTTGAGAAGAAGAAAAATTTATAACATATTATAAGGTGTTATTTACTTTGATGATTATTTCTTCTCTAACAAATATCTTACACTTAATACCAAAAAAACTAGTAAGACAAGGCTTCTCTGTAGGTAGCACTATGGCAACTTATGATAGGTTCCAGTTTTCAATGATTAACATCATGTTTAGAGATGAGCAAAGTCAAAAGGACTAAATAAGTGCAACATGAGCAAATTGAAATGGTTATGGAATCCCTACCACCTTTATACTTTTCATTTTTTACATTTATATTTTCTTTTTGGTATTTACAGATTCCAAACATGTTAGAAAACATGGTCACTACATATAACAGTAATAATACTAAGGTGTTTAGAGAACATTTTTAAGTCTTAGGTTTTTAAGTTATTCAACAATCAAATCCATACCTTCCCATCTACTTTTGATTAATTTCAGCATCTTAAAACTGTTTCAAAGGATGAGTCTTCAGAGAAAGGATAAAACAGAATACCTATGTAGGTACTGAATAACATAGACAATGTACAGGTAGGAAAACAAAAGGTAGTGATTTGTTAAATATGCAGAGTAACCTCAAAAGGCTAAGAATGTTCTGTCAAATTCTGACTGCTGCTAGATTATGTAGACCAGGTGTCTCTGTTCCCTGAAGAAAAAAAAAAGTATATATATATATATATATATGTAAAACTTCTTTTTTTTTTACTAGAAACATATAAAGAAAAAGAGTTCTTTTTTTTTTATAAGACATATGCCTCTAAATCTGAATGACTGCACAGCACAAATACATACCTATCAACTAAGAACAAATTTTAAAATGTATTTCTTTAGAATTATATTAGTACCAGCCAATATAATACTTTCATACTACATTATAATGTGGCCTTTAAACACAAGTATTTAGGTTTAAAAAAAAACAAAGAAAAATAATGAATTAAGGTTCTATAATGCCTTAATTGAGGATATAATAGGAAATTCACACAAAAATAAAAAGTATAATGTTATCTTGAACTCTTAAATCCAGTGGTTTTCTTCTTCTTGGACCTACAGATCTATGAAATAATTTTATTTTTTAAAGATGATTTTGATAATTGTATTTCCATATAGTTGGTTTCCTTGATAATGTTACACATTTAATTTTATACGTCTTAGAAATATTCTCAAAAGGATCCATAGGTTCACCAAACTGCCAAAGAGGACCACAACACAAGAGTTTAACAATCCTTGCCTTAGACCGCACTGTCCAATTTACATATTAATGGTATATATGATATAGCACACAAAAAGTGTATTTCATGATTTTTTAAAAAATCACTCAATTTATCATAGTAGAGAGAGAGCTAGCCCTGAAGCAAAAAAGATCAAGGTTCAATCAGGAAAACCTAGATTCAAGTTCCACTTCTGACTTACTCTGGCTGTGTACCCCTAAGCAAGTCCCAACTTCTCAGTGCCCCCAGGTAACTGACAATCTAAGATTCCTAGTTGCCTAATAGCTGCAGATCTGCATTAGAAGAAGATGTTTCCTTAGTTACTACACGGTGAAATCACAGGTCTAGACAAAAACATATTGTCATTCAAAATTATTTATCACTTTCACTATTGCTCTCTTCTCCTTAATTGTTTTACCAGATGTCATTCAGAACAGTTGTCAGTAATAAGAACAAGATTACACGAAGATCTCAAATTTAATACAAACCACAGTTTGAACAAAACTGAGGGCCTATATTTGGAGCAATAAGACATATAGAATGAAAGAGGCTTGTTGATTTTGACTTCCTGCATGGAGAAAGAAGGCTGAGGACATCCTAGCACATTCATAAAAATACAAAACTATTCTCAACCAACAGTTCCAACCAACATTTATTAAGGGCCACTATGCTTATGGTGTGACTTAAGCACTGGCAATATGAATGGGGAAAAAAGATCAGTTCCTCCCCTAAAGACCTTTACATACATTTTTACTGAGAGCCCAAATTGGAGAGTAATATTACCAAATTATTTTTTTTGGAAATGTGAGTATAAACAACTATTCATTATTTTAATCATTGTTTTTCTTTTTTTATGAATATGAGTCAGAATATAATTTTTGGCTAATTACGTACATGTTCATATGTGTGATTAATTCGCAAACATATATTCATCCCGCAGAATGAAAAGAGGAAGAAGTCAAAGTTCATGCCTTCCAGGGACCCATTCTTGTCATCCACATACATTGTTTCCATTATTGAATGCCTTTCTTAGAATATTCAATTTCTAACATAGCTTTAGGTATTTGGTTTTGGGGGTTTTTTTGTGAGGGAATGGAGGTTAAGTGGCTTGCCCAGGGTCACACATCTAGCTTTGGGTATTTAAATGAAGTGAATGCTTTTAGAAAACCCCTTCTTAATGTCCATTAAAAGGGTAAGAGGAAAAATATGAATACAAATACTGAATGAAAAGAAAACACTTTTTGAGAGAACCCTTTTACATCATCATTGCCTTTATGAGGAAACATTTATAAAGTATCTATTTTCGTGAGGTCCCAGATATTGGGCATGGTATAAAAAAGAAGAGGATATTTCACCAGATTTTGAGACTAAGAGTGTGAAATAAAAACATTGCTGTGAATGTGTGTGTGTGTGTGTGTGTGTGTGTGTGTGTGTGTGTATGAGAGAGAGAGAGATGAGGGATGAGAGAAAAGGGGAGGATATAGAGACATCAGAATAAACCCAACATATAAATGAAATTACATATGAGCCACGGGTAAATTAATTTTACAGGAAGGAAGTAAAAGTAAGTATGTAATTAGAAGAGAGATTGGAGAAAGTAGCTGTGGGCTTATTTTGCCCAATTCATATAGATCCTTTTATCCCAGAATAGATATCCATGAATTTTTTCCCAGTGGTCATCAACACTACAATGACAGAGGGAAAGAAAGGGATAGATTAAGGTTAGAAGAAATATCAGTATAATAGGAAAATTGTTAACAAAAAGAGGATAGAATTAAATCCTCCATAGAACTAAAATGGTTTCTTCATGCCCAAATATGAGTTCTTCTGATCTTACAGTCAGTTTAAAATTGACTATAGATAAAAGAATAAAAAAAAAAAGATCAGACATCTGAAATGTTATGTAAAGAAAAAAGTAGTAGCTGTAGGGTACAGGGTAGTAACCATGGATCAGTTGAATAGAAGAAGGTGTAGTGACAAATACATTGAATTGGGATTCAGCAGACCAGGGTCCAGATTCTAGCTCTGGAACTTCCTTCCGGTGTAATTTTGGGCAAGTTACTTACTTATTCTTGGCCTCAGAATTTTCTTTTATGAAAAGACAAAAAAACCTAAACTACATGATCCTTAAGACCCATCCCAGTGATAAAACTAAAAAGTAAAAATTTAAATTACTGAAAAGATACTCCTGTAGTTAAATCTCTCTAAACTCCCATTTCTTTAAATAGAGGGGCTTGTACTGGATTATCTGTAAAGTGCTTTCCAGTTTTAAGATGCTGTGGTACTAAGGCCTATGCCTTATGCCCCAATTATAATATGTAAACTATCACTCTGTTTCTGAT